CACCGAGCCGCCCATCGCGGCTGCGGGGGCCCTGGAACGGAGATGGAGCGCTTGGGGGCTCGGCCGGGAAGGTGGAACTGGAGCGCGATGCCATCCTTCGGTCTCTGGTGTCTACCCCTTTGACGTTTCGTCCCTGAGCTTTGTGTTTTCTGGCTGCCAAGCCGTGAGGTTTTCATGAGCAGCTTATTGACCTGGTGTAGACCCGCCGTGTTAACCACACGAAACAAGGTTTTCTTGTCCCGGGATAACATGTTTCTCTAATTGTACGATCCTTAAATTTAGAGCAATCGCAGGCGCTGGCTCAGTCAATAAAGGATCCGGGCCCAACACGCACATTCACAGTAGTTCCCAGGGCAGCAGGTACTAGACATTTTCTATTCTGGTAAATATGTGTATTTATATCTAGTAGTTTCTCTTTGTTTTTGATAAAAATTTCCTTTAGTATACGAAGTCACTTTCCATTTTTGAATATTTTATTGTATTTTAGATGGTATGAATTAAGGGCAGATACACAGCCATTTTCAGTGGATAGTCTTGGTATTTGGATACCTTTTGACGTTTCTGCCTCACCTCTTTTTCCAATCCCGCGCTCGTTTGTTTCCTTATTTCTGTTATTTTTCCACTTCATCCATCAAAATAACCTTCAGTCAGTGCTTCTTTCCCTTCAGCAGGTTTCCTCTACTTCTAGAACCCTGTTCCTGATGTTGGATTTTAAAGGCTCCCCCAGGACTGTGTGAAATGGAAGGATTACAGAGGGACTGATGGAGTCTTGAAATCTAGATCTGGTTTTGCTACTGGGATCTTGAACAAATTATTTATCCCCTTTGGACCTTGGTCCTCACCGTTAAAGCGATGGGGTTGGTCTGACGGCCTAAAGTCATTTCTGCTTTGTGATTCTAAGTGTCCACCTTCCAGCCACATAGTCATGGGATCAAAGAAAAAAGTATTTTGTAGAATTGTTCACTTAATACAGTGAGTAAAGTAGGACCAGTTTTAAACAAGCATTAGTTGTTTTGCTAGGTGGAGGCTTTGAGTCTAATTTCATCACTTTAGAGTCACATTACTTCAGTGAATTGAAACTGGCAGAGGTATTTTACGGATTCTTATTTGGGTGTAAAAAACAGCAGTGCACTTAAATTTTAAACTCAAATTACTTTTTAGAGAAAGCGCAAGAGTTCTTAACTCTTGCAGGCTTTTGAAAGCCCTTCTTTTCAGGAATACTTGCAATTTTGATCCTCTCAGTTGGTAAAAATATATTGCACACTGATGAGGTTGGTTGGAAATAAGTTGCAGCTCACTGAAGATGTCATTAAAATAGAGAACTATTTTGAACTTTGGTAGCATAAAACTGTAAATATTATATTAGCAAATGTGGCTTATCGAAGTACCCTTGTGAAATAATGACATTTTCAAGTTGATGCCCTGAGGATGTCAGTGGCTTCATTTCTAAATTAGTGAATTCAGATGAAAAGAACATTGTATTGGAAATGAAGAGATTTGGGTTCTAGTTCCAGTTTTGCCACAGACTTCCTCTAAGATTTTGCACAAACTCTACTGTTTTAGTTTTTCAACTTACAAAATGATAGTCTTTTTTTAAGCCCTTAATGTATACCCAGAATTTTCTATGCATTATTTGTATATGAGCACCTTTAGTTTTCACGGCCACTTGAGAGGCAGGAATGAAGTAATGTTTTGCAAGTGGGGTGCTCACCAGGTCACACAGCTGTCTGTTGGCAGAATTCTGCTTTAATTGCAGGTGTCTGTGACTCCAGTACCATGCTTCTCTCATTCCAGCGCAGTGTCTACTTGCTAATGATCATGTCTCTTAACCTTAGAAGATGGTTCTCTGTTATTCGAATCAGTGTTATAGAAGAATAAGCTTCTCTCTTGCCTCTCACAGAAAGTACTGAAATCCCACCTTATGTGATGAAGTGTCCAAGCAATGGTTTGTGTAGCAGACTTCCTGCAGACTGTATAGACTGCACAACAAATTTCTCCTGTATCTATGGGAAGCCTGTCACTTTTGACTGTGCAGTGAAACCATCTGTTACCTGCGTTGTAAGTACTGTAGCTTACTTATTCTAAATAAATTCACTGTAAACTTCAAGTTAGAAGAACAATTCAGACTTGACCATTGGAAAGAAATTCTGAATAATTCTTACATTCTTTTATGATTGCCCTGTTGAGTATGTAAGTAGAAATAAATTTAAAAACCCAATAGACCCTTCCATATCAGCTCACTACTGTTGTAGTTATAATGATAACTGTCAAGCCAGTTGATGTCTGCTGGAAATGCGCTTGACAGAAATGTTGCTTTGTAGGACTGGAGAAGATCTCAGTCTACTAGCATATCTGAAGCAAGTCTAATTCGTTCCGATAGATTCTGTGTTCTCACTAGTGACAGCTAGTGTACAGAGGAGGTGGCAATGTCTTTCTGCCATAGATGAGCTTTTGAAGGGCCACTGTTCGTCTGTGGTGAGAAGATGGATTCAGTAAATGCCAGAATGCCTGGTAGCTCTCTTGAACAAAATTAAGTGGAACACCTGTCTTATCCAGAATAAATTCCAGATAGTCCAAAGATGTAATGTGAAAAATGAAACCCTGAAGTACCACAGAAAACACGAGATAGTTGTTGTTATAATCCCCAAATGGAGAATATTTTTCTAAGTATGAAATAAAGTTTAGAAGCCATAAAAGAATTGATACATTTGACTACTAAAAATTGGAGATTTCTGCATGACCTAAAGAAAAAAGCATGAAGGCAAAAGACGTGGCAAACTAGGAAAAAGTGTTTGTAGCATATGTGACAAATAATACACTAATATCAGTAATATATAAACACTTCCTAAAAACCCACATGGAAAAGATGACAGTCTTGTAGAAAAACAGTGTTAGGACATGAGCAGATGGTTCATAGGAAAGAAAATACAAATAGATTTATAACATGAAAAACATGTATAAGTTTTCTTATAATTAAATACAAATAATACATTTTTAACCCTCAGATTGGCAATTTCTTTTTAATTTGATTAACTCTGAGTTTATGAGAGTATAAGGGTCAGATACTCATATCTTATTAATAGGTAATCAAATTGATCAGCCTCTTGCAGGTGATTTGCCGTATCTGTTAAACTTATACACACACATAATCATTAACCTCGTAGTTCTACATCTAGGAATTTATGTTATAGATATTATATATGGATGCAAATAAGTATGCTTATTTTTTAGCTGTATTGCTCATTAAAGCAAAAGATTCAAAAGAAGTGAAATGTCTAAGAACTGCTTAATTTATGGTACACATGCAATAGAATAAAACACATTGTAGCCATTAAAAAGAACTAGACAGCTCTAGAGATAATGTACTGATTTACATACAAAATCAAGTAAAAGTATTGGGGAACGTTAAATGTTGATGACATGAATGTGCCTGTGTGTAGAATAAGCTCTCTCTGGAAGTACAGAGGGCACTTGGCCTGGGGAGGGCAGTGGCTCCCAGAGGCCAGGCCACACAAGGCCAGCTCACTTCTCACTGTCCTGTTGTGTCTTGAAATGTGTACCATGTACATGTGTCACCTACTTTTTAAAAAACCATTTTAAAAAACATGTGTTTTAAGCACATCACTGAAAATAGGCAGATGTAAACATATTTTTACAGATCCAACTGTTTGCCTAAATCAAGTGATGCCTTACCCATATTTGAATGTTTTCCATAAAAAGTGGTTTTTGCATTGATAAGAAAATTAATAGTATTTGCTTCATCAGTGCATATGCCAAAGTTGGAACCATACAGATAAAATTAGGATGGCTCTTGTGCAAAAACGACATGCAAATTTGTGAAATGTTAAAAAAATAACAAATATGGGCCGGGGATGGTGGCTAATGCCTATAATCCCAGCACTTTGGCAGTCCGAGGCAGGTGAATCACCTGAGGTCAGGAGGTTGAGACAGCCTGGCCAACATGGTGAAACCCCATCTCTACTAAAAATACAAAAATTAGCTGGGCGTGGTGATGTGCGTCTCTAATCCCAGCTACTCAGGAGGCTGAGGCAGGAGAGTCACTTGAACCTGGGAGGCAGAGGTTGCAGTGAGCTGGGATTGCGCCACTGCACTCCAGCCTGGGCAACAGAGCGAGACTCCATCTCAAAAAAAGAAAAAAAATAATGTGTGTGTGTATGTGTATATATATATGCATACATATATATATATGATGCTTCCAGAGATGATTGACCACATAAAAATGATTTTGAAAAATATGCATTGCAATGTACTGTCAGGTAGAGTAAAAAGACTACAAAGTGCTTTCAGTATAATTCCATTTTAGTAAATTTATAAATATACACATAGAAGAAACGTAAAGAAGATTAAAAGTGGTTAGCTCTGAACACCTATAGGTTTTTGTCTATAATCTTCAAATATGTAACATACAAAGAACATGGTACTTTTGTAAGCAGAATACAAAATAATGGTTTTTGAAATTGGAATGAAAAAAATCTCTGGCCACCAGTGAACACTCACTCACCCTCCACACATCATGTGGTGCTTCTGAGTTGGGCTGCCTCTGGATTAAACATGCCACATGCCCTGGTGGTACGAGCAGCTGTAATAACCCTGAGTTGCCAGGCTGTGCAAGGTAGGAGATGTTAGGGAAGGTTGGCAACTCGGAAGCAAGGCGGTGTGTTAACCATTACAGAAGCATCAGGCTGGAGTTGAGGAACCTGGATTCCATTCCTCACTTGAAGCTCAGTGACCTTCAACAAATGCATTCATCAGTTCCTTCCAGCCATCCATGATTGCGACTTTCTAAAATAAATTTTCCCTTTGTCTGCATTATGAAAGTACACATGTTTACTATGAAAAATTTAGCTAAGCAAAAGTTACGAAATTTATCACCCTGAAATAACCTTTGCTATTTTGATGTGAATTTATCTAGTTTTTTTCCCCTTAGGTACATATATTTGGGTGTGTATTTTTATGATTATGGGGTCACATCATATACATTTGTTTTGCATACATGTTGTTTTGGTAACTTTTTCTGGTACTTTAGGTCCTAAATGCAAGCGTTTTAGGAATTTTGTGCCATGTGACTGTGGTTTTACTGACATCTTAACAGACTACACCATTGTGATTGATGAGTTTTGTGTCATTTGCTACATAGGATCAAGACTTCAAATCCCAAAAGAACTTCATCATTAACATGACTTGCAGATTTTGCTGGCAGCTTCCTGAAACAGATTACGAGTGTACCAATTCCACCAGCTGTATGACGGTGTCCTGTCCTCGGCAGCGCTACCCTGCCAACTGCACGGTGCGGGACCATGTCCACTGCTTGGGTAAGTCAGAGTTCAAGGGCATTTGTCAAGAAAGTATTTTTCTCGAAGTTGATTGAAGGGACTTTAACCAGAAATTTGAGAGTTAAATTACTTAATTAGAAACATTTATCTGCACCTTTTTAGATGTGCCAAGCATCATCAGTAAACTCAACATACTAAAGTAAAGCATCCAGAAAACTGCAATTCTCTTTTTAAATGCAATATTTGATAAAATAAGAAAAATATGTGAAGTATAAAGCGTAATACACAATAATTGACTTTTACCCAAAATAACAGTGAAAATGGCACCAATACCATCGCAGCTACCTGAGTGCTTGCCTTCACCTGGTTGCTCTACCGCTTCTTCCAAAGTAACCATCCTTTTGAATTTTTTCTTATTTCACTTCCTTTTAAATTTTTTCTATAGTTTTATTGTATATATGTAATAAAATAATAGTACCATATAATATTCAATAATGCATGTTTTAGAACTGTATAAAATGATTTCAGGCTATGTGCCCTTCTGGGACTTGATTATTTCCTGTCAACATTATGGCTCTATGATTCATCCATATGACTTCTTTCTTTATTTTACGTCTGTGTAATAATCTATTTTAAGATTGTATCACAGTTTATTCTCCAATATATTTGGTTATGTGCTGTTTTTTGCTGTTGTGACTCTTAAAATTTCTTTGCCTGTCTCCTGATGGCACATGTGCAAGAGCTTCTTTAGCATGTACTTTCCAGTGTTCGTTACTCTTTAAATGGCTGTATCAACTTGCATTCCCACCCGTGCTATGTAACTATTCCTAATGATCCCAATTCTCTCCAAGAATTGTTATTAAATTTGGTCTTAAAGTTGTCTAGACTTCTTTTATATTTTGGATATTACCTGTGCTGTCCCTGAAACCCTCTCCCAGATTTTGATTTTTTTTTTTTTTACATTATTGTATATTTTCATAAACAAAACTTTAAAAATATAATTACTTTAAGTTATTAGAGTTAGTCTTTTTTTGTTGTGGTTTTAAGAAATCTTTTTCTACCCCAGGTTTATAAAGACAATTTGCTACATTTTCTTTTGAAAGTTATAAGTTTAACATTTCACATTTAGGTTTAGAGTCCCCCTGGAATTGGTCCTGGTAGATGGTGTGAGGTAGATTCAACTTTAATTGTCCCCCCACATGGATGGCCACTTGTCTCAACTCTTCCCTGTTGATCCCTGTGTTACCTCTGTCATACATGAAGTGTCTGTATGTTTCTGGTTCTAGACTTTCTCTTCTTTTCCTATTGGGTGATTTTTATGCCTCAGGACCACACTGTCTTATATCCTCGTAACTTCCCCGTAAGTCTTGATATGTGGTTGAGCATTTCATGTTCTTCACGTTGTAATCCTAACTTAGCTAATTTAAATATTACATATGTACAGATAGATGGTAAGGGCTTTGTACTCTTCACTTCAACATGTATTACTGTAAAGAGAGTTGACTTTTCACATTTTAAATTTTGAGGCCATTTGTTATAATTAAGTCTTTCTGAGAGTATTTTTATACCCTGTATTTTTCTTTCTTTCTTTCTTTTTTTTTTTTTTTTTTTTAAGGTAACCGTACTTTTCCCAAAATGCTATATTGCAATTGGACTGGAGGCTATAAGTGGTCTACTGCTCTGGCTCTAAGGTAAGCTTTGTTACTAGTAAGTTTAAAAGGCCATTTAGATTTCTTTGGGTTTGGTGGAATCTTCCAGACATTGAGCTCAGTCCACTTCATTCTTCTCTCAGATCCTACCACATGTGTTGGATTCCAGGAAACTGCTGGAAGAGTTTAGGTGATCAGACCAGTAGCCCCATGGAGCTGACTGGCAGGCATGTTAGCTTTTCTCCCAAGGTACCTGCACATTGAGTTTCCCGTTCTGAATGTACCATGAATCAGTAAAATGCTGGGGACTATCTAAAATAGGCAGTTTTTTGATGTGTATCTTTAATTTCAAATAACTTATAAAAAGTAATACATGCTGAACACTGAAAACTAGAAAAATGAAAATGACAAAAACATTAAAAATTACCACCATCTGAGATAATTATAGGTTTATATTTCTTACATAGAAATGTGCTGTTTGTTAAACTTCTCAACAGTACTTTAAGAAATTGTACCAATTCTTCCCACCAAAGGGAAGAGCAGGTGAGACCCTGGTTAACTGATTAGTGAAAAGGTTATGCTGCCTACAGTTGAAGTTTTGAGTTCGTGCCTGAGACCCTGAGGCCTGCAGCATCGCAGCCATAGAGCAGGATTTCTCAGCCTCATCACTGCTGACATTTTGGGCTGAATGATTTTTTGTCTTGTGGCTGTCCTGTGCATAGTAGGATGTTTAGCAGCATCACTGGTGTCTACCTACTACTTGTCAGTAGGAAACCCCCCATCCTCTGCAGTTGTGACAGTGTGTCTCCACATGTTGCCACGTGTCCCCTAGGGGACAAAATTGCCCCTTGCTGAGAACCACTGCATTAGAATTTGGGCTGAGGAAAGAAGGATCTTGCCTGGCAGGAAACGCATAACTGAAAAGTAAAAGAGGACACCAGGGTAGAAAAGGAGATTCACAAAAATAAGATAGGCCGGGTGCAATGACTCACACCTGTAATCCCAGCACTTTGGGAGGCCGAGGCGGGCAGATTGCTTGAGGTCAGGAGTTCGAGACCAGCCTGGCCAACGTGGTGAAAGCCCGTCTCTACCAAAAATACAAAAGCCGGTCATCGTGGTGCATGTCTGTGGTTCCAGCTGCGTGGTAGGCTGAAATGGGAAGATCACTTGAGGAAGAGGAGGCTGCAGTGAGCTGGCATTGCACCACTGCACTCCAGCCTCAGAGCGAGATTCTGTCTCAAAAAAAAAGATTGGTAACCATTGCTGACAATGGTTCAAATTAACAACTGGCTTTTTAAAAAATAAATAAATGTTTGAAACTTGGAATAATTTTAATTTACAGGAAAGTTGCAAAGATAGTAGAGTTCTTATATATCCCTAATCTGGTTTCCCTACATTGTTAACCTCTTACAGTACTATATTATAACAAATTTTCAACAATTAAAACTTCTCAGCACTCAACATGGTTTCTTTTAAAATCTTCACTGTAATGAGATGATGCCCAAGGTTTGCTTCAGGGTACTCTGAAGGGGAAAGGGGAGAGTTTTGATGAAACACGGCTGGCCAAGTGTTGATTATTGGAGCTGAGTCATGAGTACTGTTCTCTTTACTTTTTATTGTTATATATGTTTAGAAATTTTCCATAATAAATATTGTTTCAGTATTATTAGATTTTAGAATTTAAAAGATCCTTAGAAGTCACCTCTTCCTAACATTAAGATTTTAGAGATGAATGAAAAAATAGACTGAAAACATGGACAACTTGATCCAGGTCATCCAGGTGGTGGTGGGCTCCTCCCGACTCTAGCCCTGACCCCGTGTTGGTGCACTTCCTGTTAGACTGGGTCTTTGCTTTGTTTTGACTAAAAAGCAATGAGATTGATCACTTAGAGAGAAAACATTAGTTTTTTAGTACAGCTAAAAATTGTATGTTTACTTTTGACATTTAAACAGTTTTCCTGCCCATAATTATTTGGTGGTGTCAATTTGTGAAATAGTTACTTGTGTTCCAATTAAGGGCTGTGATCATTGGAAGTCCTTTCTCAAATCTGATGTAACGCAGCGATTAAACCATAACTGGCCGCAGTTGGGGTGGACGGGTCTCATGGAATCCTGTCTGTTTGCCATCGCAGCATCACCCTCGGTGGGTTTGGAGCAGACCGTTTCTACCTGGGCCAGTGGCGAGAAGGCCTTGGCAAGCTCTTCAGCTTCGGTGGTCTGGGAATATGGACGCTGATAGATGTCCTGCTAATTGGAGTTGGCTACGTTGGACCAGCAGATGGCTCTTTGTACATTTAGTTGTGGTATGTGCTTCAGAAAGGAGCAGTGCTTAGAAAAAGCCCTTTTGTCCATAGGAATTGATGTGGTGTGAGTGATACATTTCTATGTTTTTAATGTACAGCATCTGTACTTTGTTTGCCTTCATAAAGGTAAAATAAAGAAATGAAACAGTGAACTGTGCTAATCTGGAATTTGTTTTTATTTGCCTGAAATATATTTTTTTCTGTGAAAAAATTAAAACGTACTTAAGCCAAGAGAATGACTTCTACAGTGATTGAAAATCCATTTAATTCCTATGACTTTTGTTTTGTATTGCTCAAGTCAAACTACATCACTTGTATCTCCAGCTCAAATGTAATCTGCCTTGCAAAGCCTTTAAGCTATGATTGCAGGAAGTGGAAAGTGTTTTTATTGTTAGCTAATTGAAGTTGTTTGGCTCAACTTCAGTCTTGTGTAAGATCTGCAGTGTAAGTATGCAGTCTGGTCTGTATATATGAAAATTTGAATTAAACTGCAGAATGTTTAGTTATGGTTTAAATTTTCTTAGTAGTATATAAAAGGTAAGAGTACTGAAAAATTAATAAAATTGCAAGTTAAGAAATATTGTGGGCCTGATTTTCTATATTAAATATAATCTGGAATAATCATTACAACTTACTTTTATTGTTAAGAAGAATATTTTTTTTTTTTCAGGGCATTACTCCATTATAACAGAGTCATAGTTGGCTGGTTTATTGACACAGTGGAAATAGGTAAATGTTTTTGAGTATAGATCTGTGATAGACCCTTTATTGGGGGAAAAAACCCAGTTATTCAAAAAGATTTTTATTCAAGTTTGCTTTTGAAACATTTAAAAACTTTTAGCATTTTTTCTTTCAAATATGGATATCTGAGTTACTGCTTTTTAAACACTTGTATGTATTAGCCAGAAGACTGTTAACCACATATCATATCTAGAAGCTATAGAATATCTGCATATTTCATTCACCAGATGATTTTTTGATTTCAGTTTACCTGAAAGGTGAATTAAATCACTTGAGTGATCACTTGCTGTTCTTATGAAACACTGCCCTTTGCTTAGTTGAGTGACAGTTCCATCTCTGATCACTAGGTGGCGCATCCCTGTTACGTTTGCTTTCCCCTCTCTATTTCCAGAAACAGCCACTTTTAAATTGTTTTTTTTTTGTTTGTTTGGTTTTTTGTTTTTTGTTTTTTGTTTTACGAGGAACTTGTCACAGAGCATGAGCAGTGCTTCAGGATGGGAGTAAGCTGGTTTATGTGGACCTTTCTTTCTGAGAGCAAATACACACTTTTTTGTATCCGTGAAACTGTTGATTGAGCAGGTGTTTCTTTAGATGAGGGTCTCTTCTTCAAGAAGCAGCCCCTTTCCTAACTGTAATAAAAATGTCCCCTGAGTCTCCTTACGTAGCTCTATGTAGAAGAGAATCTAATACTTCCCTGTTGAGCAACCATGCAAGGTGGAGCCAGGGAGTCAGTGGGAAGTTAGTAGGAAGTATGCATTGCCATTGGTGGAAATAGGTAACACCTTGATTAACCGTTTTTGTGGCTCTGGGGCCTGAGTTAGATAATGAAACGGCAGTGTTTGAGAGGGGAAAGCTCAAAGATTCAGAATCCATGAAAGGAGACATGAATGAACTTGTTCCCAAATCTTAAAAGGTTGCACAAGGGCATAGCCCTTGGAACCTAAAGGATGTAAGCCACTCAGGAATGCTTCTGATCAAGGACTTGATAGAGCGGATGGCCTGAGACAGAACTAGCAGGAAATATGAAGAGATTTTCAAATACAGTACAAACCAATTTATGAACGATGAACTCCTACACAGCCCCAAAAAGAAACTGCAAAATAAAACTATACTTTCAGAGGGCACCAGGGAATGTGGGTGCAATCCCTTGTAGCAAATCCCATGGGCCTTTGTTGAAGTCTGTGCTTCAGATTCTATTCCTCTGTTGTCTTAGATTTTCGGGACTGCTATAACAATACCATAAACAGGGTGGCTTAACAACAGAAACTTATTTCTTAGAGTTCTGGAGGCTAGAAAGTCCAAGATGAAGGTGCTGGTAAATTTGGTATCTGGTGAGGGCCTTCTTCCTCATAACATCTCACATCTTCACGTGGTGGAGGCCTCTTCTATAAGGGCACTAATCCCAATCCTGAGAGCTCACCCTCATGACCTAATCACCTCCCAAAGGTCCCACCTCCTGATACCATCGTCATGGTGGTGAGGATTTCCGCATGTGAATTTGGGGTGGAAAGGACACAAATACTCAGTCCATCCTGTGTGAGCTATGGGCTCTGACCAAGGGATATGATTAGATAGCCATCCTGTTCACACAGGTTGGGAACCTTATCAGTCAACCATCCTCTATTGATGGTTCTCTAGATATTCAGAATTTATCACTACAGCCTGCCATCCGTCCTGATTTCCCCTTAAGAATCTCTACCTTGCTCTGTCAACACTCTTGCATTTACCCCAGTAATGCCTCATGGGAAGGTGCTGGGTTATTTGTTTCTGTCACCTCCATTGTCCCTAGAACAATGCCTTGCACACAGAGGCTCTCGTTTGTTTGCTGAGTTCATGCCACGGGTGTCTTGAAGGTTTGGAAGGGACTGTGTACAATTCCAGGAATTGGCAGTTGAGGTGCCTGCAGGGAGATAATATACAGAAATTGGCTTCAAGTAAATATTTGTCTGTAACACCATGTTGATCTGATTTCTGCAAATTGCTGAGGAACAACTCTGGTTTATAGTGCTTATAAAAAGATTTTTTCAAAGATCTTATGCTTCAAGATTTTAAAATGTAAAAATATCTTCTCTATGCCACACAACTTCATTTCTCTCTACTTTTTTTTTTTTTAATACCTTATGCCAGACTTGCATTTATTTTGGGCATATCATCAGCTAAGGAATATGCAAATGATTTTAATTCATCCTGTAAGCAATGAGTGGAAAATGAGCTGTACCTGATGCAGCTTCTCAAATACAACATTGAAAAAACCTAAAAATGAAGGCACTACATAAGCAGAATATGCATTAAAAGGAAAAAAAAAAAAACACCCAGGAAAAATGAAGGCAGATTCCTCCACTCCTGCTCTAAAGCCTCCCCTCTATTCTGCACTTTTGGTAGAGTATGAAGTGTCACATGAATGTTAGAGGGTATATACATTTTTTTAACTTTTCTTGTATATACATTGTATACATTTTTTTCATGGTAAGAGCACTTAAAATCTACTCAGCAAATTTTTAATGCAGTAACTATGGTCCTCATGCTATACATTAGACCTACTGGTTAATTTTGTAACCTAGGCAAGTTTGATCTAAATTCTTAAATGTAAAGTATTGAAATTATCTTCCATAAACACAACGTCATTTTTATGCAAAATAAGCTTTGATGGAGACATGTGGACATAATTTACTAAGGCTCCATGAAGGCGGGGCTGTGGTTCTGTACTGTAGCTCAGCTTAGAGAGCCCTGCCTGCCATACAGCAGGTGCACAGTGAGTAGGAGTTTGATGAATGAGTAAGGAGGAATTGCTGGGAGTAAACTAAACACCTAAAAGTATTGCTGAGAATTTTTAAAGCAGTAGAGTGCAGCTGGATTACAGCATCTCCCTTCTCAAATACTTAGATGATGAACACACTACAGTAGAAGCCAGCACCTCCTTCCTGCCCAAAACCAGCAAACAAAGGAAACTCCACAGCAAACAAGCAAAAGGATACAGCCAAATGCCAAAAATGTCACACACAAAAAAATGGTGATACGGGGGAAAAAATTATTGCCCAGGTGTGTAAGATTACTCCTACAAATGGTCCTGGTGGCAGAGCAAAACTCAGAAAGTCTCACTGGTGGCCAGGCGCGGTGGCTCATGTCTGCAGTCCCAGCACTTTGAGTATCTGAGGCAGGCAGATCGCCTGAGGCCAGGAGTTCGAGACCAGCCTGGCCAACATGACAAAACCCCATCTTTACTAAAAATACAAAAAAATTAGCCAGGCATGGTGGCAGGTGCCTGTAATCCCAGCTACTCTGGAGGCTGAGGCAGGAGAATTGCTTGAACCTGGGAGGCAGAGGCTGCTGTGAGCCGAGATCATACCATTGCACTCCAGCCTGGACAACAAGAGTGAAACTCTGTCTCCAAAAAAAAAAAAAAGGTCTCACTGGTGAGAAAAATAGGTTAATTGGGAGAAGAGAGGTATCTTTATCTTTCTCCTGTTACTGCTGGGGGAAGTGAAAAGTGAAAAGGGCTGCTGGAAAGAGACCAGTGAGAGACGGCTCGTGAACAAACAGGAGGGACTCTGATGGGTTCACGGGTTCCCTGCTGAACCAGACAAAGGATCTAAAGCCTAGGGTGACCCCCATGGGTCATTGCATCACTCCCTGGGAAGGAAACTCATTCAGGACATTTAGAAAATCCTAGTCAAGAAACCAGAGACCAGATATTCTAGCAAAGATACAGTCTCAGCTGAGCTTTTCCCTGCCTCACCCCTAGCTATCAGGTCACAGAATGTAGAATAGAACACAAAATACAACTTGCAAAATGCTCGAAGAGAAAACCAAGGGAATTTTTTCACATATTATGAAGTTGTCCTTTTACACAAGAACAAAATGAAATGACTCACGACCCACTAGAATGACTGTAATAAAAGGAATTCTTAATCAGCCTGCCAGCCTGTGCAACATAGTAAGACCTGTCTCTAAAAAAAAAAAAAAAAAAATTCCAGGTGTGTGCCTGTAGTCCCAGCTGCTTGGGAGGCTGAGGTGGGAGTGATCTTTGAGCCCAGGAGGTGGAGTTCCAGTTAGCTACTGAGGACTAAACTCTGACCTTTTCCCTCTTGCCCAAATTCCTATCTAAGGGACTGGGGAGTTGCACCCTATAAATCATAAAATCTAAACGCAAATTTATTTAACCCTATATGATGTGGCTTACTTTCCACCCTGACTCTGGCATAACGTCACATGATAGATAAAGAAATCAAAATATTTTAACCCCAAATATGTTTCTTTGCCATATCTTGAAATGGCCCTGCATAGCTGTCTCTTGGGAAAATCTACGTTCTGCAAAGAGTCCCCTTCCCTTTCCAGGTCTTTTCCCTGACACAGCAGAGAATCAGTCACAAATCTGGCACCTTTTTCAGTCTAAGAAACATTTCCAATCTACTCTCTCTGAAGCTCACAACCTGGGGGCTTCATCTGCATGATAAGAACCTTGGTCTCCACAATCCCTTAGCATAACCCAGACACACCCTTCTGTTGATTAGAGGTCTTTATAGACAATAATGCTTTCAACCAATTGTCAGTTAGAAAATCCTTGAAGTTACCTATGATCTGGAAGCCCCTGCTTCGAGCTGTCCTGCCTTTCCAGATGGAACCAGTCTACATCCTACATGTATTGATTTGTGTCTTATGTC